AACAATGGACTGAAATCGAAGTTGGTAAATTTTTGAAGTTCGCTCCATTCGGAGTGGTCTGCTCGCCGGATGATTCATGGAGATAAATGTATATAGTATCTCTATTTACAAGAGTCTCTATTTTACATTAAATTGAAGTTCAGACACTTGTGGCATTATCTCTATCTAAAAGAGTATATGCCATCTGTGAGAAATAAGTTGAACGCACAGAAAAACTGTACACGGCTTCTCATGCTGTGTTATCTTCAATTAAAGAAGTGTACACTCACTCATCGCCACTCACTTGATCTCCATGGTCTGGACGCTGAAGATGAGGATCCACCCCACTCTGTGTTGCCCTGATACGTCGATGCTTGATCTTCATATGCCTTTCTCTTTTTCTCCTTCTGTCTTTCCTTTCTTGAATCAGCATACTGCTTCTTCTTGTAGGCCTGTTTGTAATGATGTCGTTCATTCCATGACATATCAGAAGGATCAAGATGGATAAGAATTGGATTATGAGCATCGCGATCATTTGGAGCAACCATGAAGATGTTGTGATCACCATGTAAGCAAGTTTCATTTACCTTGAAGTAAAATTCACCCACATAGTTCATGTGATCTTCATCCTCAAAGTCTTCTGGTGTTCCTCACACATCAAACGTGAATGACCCCACTCAACAACTGTTAACATACAACAATCACCTTTACCATTTGTCTTGTTCATGAGCTCGTCGGTGTATGTTGCTGTTGTAATGCCATCCAAGTGCGTTGCAAGAAAATCCAAGTCACGATAACTGCAAGAAATGAAATGCTTGACCCTGATTGGAGGGCAAGTTGGATCAAAATTCTTGCGCATGGCTTGTGTTGCAACACCTACCATTCTGTTGATCCAGAATTGGATAAGGCTGTGTTGGTATGTAGGGACACCTGGAGATTTTGGTGTGCTGTAATAGCATGCCTTGTTTCCATCACCTGCGATGAAGTCAACTTGATATCTGGCACACTCAAAAGCCATAACAGCTAAGCACTCACCAACAATCCCAGCAGAGTCTGATGCATACTTCTGTCCGACGTGATAAACGCACACACGTGTCATTCTCATCCTAGCTCTTGTCAAGTCAACAATCTCATCTGTATCTCGATCCTTTGTCTTTCCCCAAGATACTTCAAAGATTGCCCATGAGACTTGTCGAACTCGTGTGTCGTTGTCATCTGTGTGATATCCAGCAATTTGCTTGATATAGCCATCCTTTCCAAGGCGAGCTGCCACCATCAAGGCATGATAGTCATTGAAGCAAGTTTTTAAAGTCAACCTCGTCGAGTCTTTCTCTGTGAGGATACAATGAACCAGCCTCGCAATTCATGAAAAGATGTCCTCCAAAGTTCTTGATGGCATTGATGAAGTAATTGTTGAACTGTGATTTGTTTTCATCAAATTTTTCATGGTCCTCATCGATAGTGTAGTCAATGTGTGGAATGAATTGTTGAAATCTTTCTGGAACCGGACATTTTTCAAATCTGTTTCTGCACCAGTTTCCCAAATTCCAAAACATTGCTGTTATCTGTGGAGAGGATCTGTATGGAAATTCAGCATCCTTGTACGTTGGGTCTGATAGGCCTCCACCTAAATACCTGTAAGCCAAGCTATGCAAGATCATACAGTAAGGCAAGACCTTGTGGTCCTCAACGTAATCTTGGAGTACCCTTGTGAGATTTCCAAAATCGTCATCAATCCTCTTTTCTGCTTCTTTTGAGGATCTTTCTGCTTTGTCTTGATGAAGAGGATGCATCCTAGGATCACTACAACCATATTCAATGCGCTGATTGAGTTCTTGTAATTCTAGTTGTGGATCCTGATCCTTGTGTCTGGCAATGTACTCAACCATCAACTGGTCATCTGTAAGATGGTACCAATAATCCTGATGTGGAGACATGGTCTTCCTGTACTTAACATGCCAAAACATGTGTCGATGCTTCGAAGACGCTGGATAACCTTTGTTGTAAAATCCTGCCCATTCACCATGGTAACCATCTGAAAAACAATCCTTCAATTTTCGAAAAACTGAATCATCTTCGTTTCCAGTGATATCTTGACCATAGTAAAGTCGAACTGCAGGTTTCACTTCAGGAGCTGTCTCATCATCTTGAATGTCTGTCTTTTTCTCCCCTGATTCCTCCTTTTCTGAGGAGCGTTCAGGTGGAGCTGATTCCTCTTTCTCTGAAGAGCCTTCAGCTGGGACATGTGGCTCCTGTGTGTCTTTTTCTTCTTCTTTTTCTTCGACAGCAATCTCCTCTTCTTCATCCTCTTCTTTCTCTTGTCGTTCTTCTGGTTTGACAAAACTGTCCTTGATCTTTTGTTGAACATTCTTGTTGCACATACTGATCCACTTCAATGTACACTCAACCAATTTGTCATCATCAGTTTCCAAAATGATATGCTTGTCCTCAATGTTCAAACTTTCAATAGTATGCTTGTACTCAGGATCACCCGCGCCTGGTCTTTGAAGATCTGGAAGAG